TCTGCATACATATGTGTCTGTGGAAGGGTTTATGTGTGTGAATGCGTTTGTGTGACTGTGCGTGTATATGCACTCACAAATATATAAATCAGTACAGAAACTAAGTAAGTGAGTATCTGTGTGACTAAATGTATTAAGTTGAGGTGTTTATAATAGGTCTAGTTCAACAAGCCTCTTCATGCACATTCATGTACAGAGAGGGCTGTATATTTTAATATATGAATATAAATATATGCAAGTATACAAACACACTAATCTTACCCTAAATTACAAAGTTTTTTCTTTTTTTTGTTCTTTTTGTATTTTGTTTATGCATTTCAAAAATGGATAGTTAGAATAGAATGTAGGTCAAGTTTACTATTTACAACAAAATACAACAAAGGTTATATATCTAAACATATAAATGTATACACACAGTAGCACACTGATAGCTCATCTGAACTATGACTAACTCAAAACTTTGAGGGTAAACTATCATCATTGATCAAGTATAACCATTAAAACTTGACGAGTAACTCAGCTTGTTGATCAGCACCAGACTGGGCCCTCACTCTCCAGTCTAATGTGAAACTGCAATAAAATCAGCTGGCTTCAAGGAAAATAGCATGGAGGATATTCCTACATGGTGCTAATGCAATCTAATGCCCATATTCTCAGGCATTCAACATGAAAAAATTGTATCTACACGTAGCAAAGGAAAACGATATTATGAAAGTCATACAGCCAAGCATGTCAGCCTTAGGGTTAATATCAACAGCTGCACGTCATTTGTCTAGACAGATTAATCATGTCTATTTCCAATCTCTTGCTACTTAAGAGTGTACTGAATATGGATGTAACAGTTCTGGTGATATGTTAGGAAGAAAGTGTAATATCTAAATATAAAAATCCTAATATTTATCAACATCTTACAAACCTTTGAAACACCACAGATGTTTGGGCAACAAAAAACAAAAATGAAAAAGATACAGATTAGATCATTCTCCAACAACAAAAAAATACACTGAAGTATCAGTATGCTACTGTATCTTTTCTTATATCCAGGTATCCAACCATATGTTGTAATGAATCTAGCATCAGTGCCAGAACTAACAATCTGAAATGTGATGATCAGAGCAACCAACATAACTGGGTCTATATACCTTGTGACCTGAGTGTGGCATCATTATCCAAACTCTTCACCTTTCCTAAAGCTTGTGCTGCTTCCTCTCACTTCACTCCACTTCAAATAGTAAACTTTGCTTATCCTGTTCCACAAGTTCATTTCCCCAACACTTCCATCAGTCATCTGCTTTGAACTAATATCACAATTACATCATCTTCAGTAAATATATGACTGGCACTAGCATTTTATGTACATACTATTCATGGTACATATAATGAATGCAAGAGCAAGAGCACACGACTGTGAGCCTGTTGTATACAGATATACTGCAATCTAACAATGCATGTAATTCCCTAGATGGAATTCATAAAGCTTCTTGTAACTTGTTATTAATGTTGACATTAATCTACTGATGTCAGTCTTTAATTATGATTGGCACTTTTTTTTTCTTCTTTTACATAAATCATATACTGTATGATAGCATAAACAATCAGGACTATTCTACATGCATGCAAATAATAATTTGAATTTGAATGACAATAACCATCATAATAAAAATCATAAATAAGATTAAATAAATTTTAAAAAAGGATTAATTCATGCAAACTCCAAATTTCACTAGAACAGGACAGATGGAGAGAGAGAGAGATAAAAAAAAAAAAAAAAAAAAAAAAAAAAAAAAAAAAAATGCTGCATTTCAATCCATCACCTTCATCATCTTCACGGGTTACTTAGACTACTTAAGACCACTTGGCAAGCATTCACATTAGCTAAGCTACAACATTGCAATAAGTCATCGGAAATTGGAAGAGGTTCAGACTTGGAAAAATAATGTTTATATTTATCACAATAATACCTCATACCCATCTCTATCATTAAGTGCAAAGTGAAAATAAACCATACTAAAGAGGACAGGATGGAAGGGAAGGGAAGGGAAGGGGAGGGGAGGAGAGGGAGAGAAAGGAGTAAACTGGCATGGAGAAGGGAAGATAATCAAGGGAAGTAAGCAATAAAGTTAGATAGAGTGATGGGGCCAAGGGGGAGGGAGAGGGAGAGGGGGAGAG